CAGATGACCTTGAGCAAACACGTATCTTCTGAGTCTTGGTTTTTTTAAACTGTAAAAGGCGGATAGTGATATTAGATAGTTTTAAAAGGCTGTGAGGTCTAATAAGGCATACAGTCACAGGGCACGGTTGTCACTCCATGTATATGAACTGCTAATGGTATTAATACCACTATTATTAGGGGTCAGGCTTTGAATCTAGGCCTCAGCTCTCAGGCGGTGCACACTACTGGAAGACGGGTGTGCTCCCCACCAGTGTCCTGTGCTGTAGCTCGCATGGAGTGGGTTGCTTTAGCTGGCAAGACTCTTGTGATCCTTGTGACAAGCCTTTCCCCATCTCTACATTATTCAAATCCTACTCCATTCCATTTAGCTCCTTGACATTTATAACATTATTATTATTCTTCCAGGGTTAGGGCTAGAATTTCAGGCGACTTTTTTTCCTCACTGTATTTCATCAGTTTTATACTACAGAAAAGTTTAATAAAAATAGTCAGGTATGGTGGCACGCACCTGTAGTCCCAGCTACTCAGGAGGCTGAGGCAGGAGGATCACTTGAGCCCAGGAGTTCAGGCTACAGTGAGCTATGATCACACCACTGCACTCCAGCCCGGGTGACAGAGCAAAACCCTATCTCTTTAAATAAGTAAGTAAGTAAATAAATAAATAAAAGCATTTTACAAGAAATACTAATAAAATATATTTAATTATCTCATTTAACACAGCTTTAAAGAGCAGGTATGTAAACCTAGCCCTGCAACCTCCCTCTCCCATGAACACTAGACCACATGAGGTCTGTAGAAATCATTCGGCTCCTATTGTCATTGAACTGTAAGTTATTTTCTCATGTGTGTCCTCACCTAAATTATAAGCAACTTGAGGAAACAAGCGAGTCTTCTTACTCAGATTTAACAAAACTTATTTAGTGACTTCCGCAATGCACCAGTCCCTCTTACATAAAGTATCTCATATAATCTTCCCCACAACCTGATGAGGCAGATAATGGTACCCCCATACCACAGATGAGCCCGCCGAGGCTCAGAGGTCAACACAGGCAGTGAGTGGCCAAGTCAGGGTCCACATCTACATCTGACTCTGAGGCCGCTGACCTAGCATAACGCTATCTTCGCTATGCTCTACCAGCACCACAGACTGTGGATGCCTTTCCCTCACCCCGGGACCCTCCATCTGAGCAGCATTTTCTGTGGCCTTGATGCCCCCTGGCGGCACGTGAGGGCTCATTCCACTGAAGGCCTGTGACCGCAGGCATTTGAAAGAGTAATCCACAGCCCCGTGTAAACAGCCCTGGAGTAGCCCTCTGCACCCTCTATCAGAGCTGCGCTTCTTAAATGGACCCTTCAGGAGGATTCTGCTTCTGACAGGTCGAGGAAGAGGGGTTAGGGTCTTTTGAGCCAACAGCAATGTTCCTCCTCTCTGCTGTCCAGCACTTTCCACTTCCCAGTCACGACATGTGGGCTTAGGCAATCTCTGCTGGACCCTCCTGGCAGTTTTTTTGTTGCCCTAGCTAGAGCACAGTGGCATCATCCTAGCTCACTGCAACCTCAAAGTCCTGGGCTCAAGCGATCCTCCTGCCTCAGCCTCCCGAGCAGCTGGGACCACAGGCACGCACCACCATGCTCTGCTAATTTTTCTGTTTTTAGTAGAGACAGGGTCTCACTCTTGCTCAGACTGGTCTCAAACTCCTGAACTCAAGCGATCTCCCTGCTTTGATAGATTAGAGCCTAAGATTACAGGCATGAGCCACGGAGCCTGGCCCCTCCTGGCATTTTCTAAGAGCTCGTTTATGGAGGAGGGGAGAAAGAAGAGGATAAAGGTGGTTAAAGCTCAGGATCTAAAAGTTCTTTACCTTCAAGGCAACCATAGAGTCCTTTTCCCAAAAGACAACATCAAGACTCTTCAACAAATGTTTATTGAATTCCTATTGTGCTCTGTGGCACTGGGAATGCAGAGATGGAGAAGACATTCTTCCTGTTTTTGAAAAGGAAACATCTACAAAATTATTATACAATGCAATGAGACATGTGCTCTGAGTGTCGTGGAACTTTTCCTGTCAACCCAGAAATGGTTAACAGCACTTGAAACTAAGACTAAAGAATTATCAAATACCCCACAAGCTAAAGAAAACAGAAAACAATTAGGGTCACTTTCTCCAACCATCACCCCAGCCCCCAGCACTTGCCTGACTGACCTATATACGTTATTCCTCTCCTTATGCCTACTGCACAGGGGCAAAATAGCACAGAGCAGAGAAGGAAGGGGGTGCTATGGGACAGCCTTCCCTCTCACCTCCTGTGTGGTAAGGGTGTGTGGGCCAGCTATCATCCTCTTCCTACTTTCTCATTTTTTTCCTTTGCAGGCCTTTCTTGCAGGCTTAAAAAGTAATCACCAGCCTTTCTGAGACTACTTTAGTGATTGATCTGGCTTTGAGATAATCTGAGATACTGTGGAGCTACACTGGCCAATACCGTAGCCACTAGAAACATATAGCTAAGGAGTACTTGAAATGTGGCTAGTCTGGGCCGGGCGTGGTGGCTCACGCCTGTAATCCTAGCTCTCTGGGAGGCCGAGGCGGGCGGATTGTTTGAGCTCAGGAGTTCGAAACCAGCCTGAGTAAGAGCGAGACTCCGTCTCTACTAAAAATAGAAAGAAATTAATTGGACAACTAAAAATATATAGAAAAAATTAGCCGGGCATGGTGGCGCATGCCTGTAGTCCCAGCTACTCGGGAGGCTGAGGCAGAAGGATCGCTTGAGCCCAGGAGTTTGAGGTTGCTGTGAGCAAGGATGACGCCACGGCACCCTAGCCCGGGCAACACAGTGAGACTCTGTCTCAAAAAAAAAAAAAAAAGAAAGAAATGTGGCTAGTCTGAATTGAAATGTGTTGTAAGTGTAAAATATACACTGGATTTTGAAGATTTCATATGGGAGAAAAAATGTAAAATATCTCAGTATTCTATCTGTTACATGTTGAATTGATAATATTTTGGATATATTATTTGGACAAATAAAATGATACTAAAATTAATTTCACTTGTTTAACTTTTTTAATGTGGCTACCAGACCATTAAAAATTTCAGATGTGGGCTGGGCACGATATCAGGCTTACCCCTGTAATCCTAGCACTCTGGGAGGCCAAGGGGGCAGGACTGCTTGAGCTCAAGAGTTCGAGACCAGCTGGAGCAAGAGCGAGAGTCCATCTCTACTGAAAATACAGAAAAATTAGCCAGTTGACACGGAGGCTGAGACAAGAGGATCACTTGAGCCCAGGAGTTTGAGATTGCAGTGAGCTATAATGACACCACTGCACTCTACCCAGGGCGACAGAGCGAGACTCTGTCTCAAAAACGAAAAAAAAAAAAAATTCATACGTGGCTCACATCAGATTTGTTTGGACGCTGGTGTGGTTTAAAAACCCAGAGCTGAGAAGCCCTAGCCCCGCCAAGCCTTACACCGCATGGGACCACAAGGGGGCGCTACTGCAATGCCGTGCTGCGTCCGGCATGTCTTGGGCAGGAAGTAAGCTGGCTCCTTAGACAACAGGCACAAACTTTGCCTCAAGTACTCAGTACTAATATTTTCTAATGCTATCTTTCAAGGGCAGGTATAAACTGCTTTTTCTAAAACTTATATGGCCCATATTGTGTTATTCCTAACTTAAACAATTTCTCTAGAGCAGGAGTCCAAGACCCCTGAATTACAACACTCAAACTGAAACTTTTAAGGAAGCTGCAAGCCTCACTATGACAGCAAGAGAATGAAAAGGCAAAATTCAAGTCCAGAATGGCCTTGGAGCCGGGCCCCAGATCAGAAGGTAGACTGTTAGTAAAAGCTGGAGGTGAGAGGGTTGGAGGAAACTTAGCGGAAGGAGTGATGAACAGAGGTGGGCAGAGGCTCGTGGGGGTAGGAGAGTCTATGGATACACTCCCATTTTCATCAAAATGCTACCAATTTCAGTGTAAACTGGCACCATCTTTTTGGGGGGCAATTTTTTAAGTGTATATCAAAAGTATTCAAAATGACCATATCCTTTGACCCAGAAATTCCATTTCTAACAATTTATCATAAGAAAAACTTTAAACTGCACAAATATTTAGCTATTAGGATATTCAACCAACATTGTAATAGCCCCCCAAAAACCACTATAAGCAACATACATTAATAAGGGGTTGATTAAATCAATTAAGGCATAGCTATAACATGGAATATTTTGCAACTATTACAAAGGCTGCCAGTGAATACTTATTGACATGGAAAGATATTTATGCTAAATTCGGTGAATGAGACTAGCCACAGAATTGTATGTCCAGTATGTATGTCAACTTTGCTTAAAAAAGAAAAAAGCTTTAAAAGTATACATTTGGAAAAACAACTATCTGAAAGGATATTCTCCAAGGGATTAATAGTCATCTCTGAACCGTGGGACCGTGGGGGTTTCCATTTCTTATTTGCTTTTATAGTTAATTTATTAAAGTCATTTTTAAGTAGTCCTACCCAATTTTCCTTACAAGTTAGGACTCAAATGCCACTTTCCTGAGCCCTCGTCATAGTTAAGTACCAACGTCCTTGTTAAAATTCCGACACTTTACCAACACCCATCTTGGGGTTTTAACCTTGTTCCATCTCGTCCTTTAGTCCCTTGTCTTTCCCCTTTCAAGCCTGTGGAGCCCTTCCCAGGGGTCCTGTGTCTCTCCGTGCCTGCCCCACCGCCTAGTCAGATCCTGCCTGACCCGCTGGGTTACTGTAAAACTTAAGATCTGGCCCCTAGGTCTCAGAGTCGGTTGAAGCGGAGTCCAAAGGTTAAAAATCACGGAGACAAAAGGCCAGGTAAGGAACCGAGGCACCGCGCCCAGCGGCAGACCTCTGTCTCGAGTGGGAAATAATCCGCGCCGCCGGTCTGTGCAGGGCAGCCAGGCGCAGGCCACCTAGCTTGGCACAGCGCTGCCGCACAACCCTTCGCCAGGGTCAGGTGGCGGAAGCGCGGTGATGTCTTCCGGCAAACGCGGACGTCGCGCCGCGATAAATGTTCCTTTGGAGGCGCCGTTGCGGTCCACGCCCTGCTCGCGTCACGTGACCGAGGCCGGTGGTGTAGGAGGGCGCTCCGTGCGGCTGGGGTCTCGGCCGAGGTGGATGGCCGGCGGGATGGAGGCGACCTTGGAGCAGCACTTGGAGGACACGTGAGTAGTGCGGGCCTCTTCGGTCTGTCCCGAGGTCGCGGCGGGTGGACTTTAGCGGGACGAAGGCGCGAGCTTGGGTGCTGCCTAGGGCGTCTGTAGGACGCCGCGCGACCCCTGGGCCACGGTTTGAGGTGAGCCCTGCGCAGGGGCCGCGGGGCGGGGCGGGTGACCCGGAATTATTGCAAAATCCTGCCTGGCTCCGCACATTCCCTCTCGAGCGAGTCTCCGGGTCCAGGCCTGGAGGCCAAAACCGCCTATCATGTAGTTGAAATCGTCGGTACGGTCAGGGCTGCTCTGCAGGCGTTTTAGGAAGCGGGTTAACATTTGGGAAGGGTGCACCAGGTGTGCAAAGTCTAGCCGTACAGTGTAAACAAATACAATACAAATACACAATACACATACACAAATACAAATACACACATTTGTTTCTGTGTGTAACCTATCAGTTACTTGGTGCTTAAGGAGATACAAATCATCCTTTAAAATTTTCAAATGAGTAATATGTAAAATTCAGAATCGAAAGGTAAAAGCAAGCATGCAGGGAGACACCTCCCTCTCCCCAATGTCCCTCAGCTTCCTACTTCTCCTCCGGGAGGCAACTTAAGTGATTTAGAGTTTTCCAAGTTGTTTTAAATGAGTTAGTATACGAAAATGTGCGTTTTTAACAAAAATGAAACATCCTAGATATTGCAATGCTTATGGCCCTCCAGAGCCCAACAGTACCTGACAAATTTTTTTCTCTCATTAGAGGGAAACCAGTTTAATAATTGGTTATAACTGAATTTTTCTCTTGGGGGGTGATAATGAAAAGGGTTGAGAAACACTATTTAAAGCATTTAATGCCTGGTAGATAGAAAGCCTATATGTGTTATATTTATTTAAATCCATTTTCTCACATCATCTGCATCGTCTCTCCTGGGTTCCTGGAATTAGAATGAAGAATCCGTCCATTGTTGGAGTCCTGTGCACAGATTCACAAGGACTTAATCTGGGCTGTAAGTACCTCTCATACCAACTCTTTGGTGTATTGTACAGCATCTGATGTTGAGTAAGAGCCTAGTGTGCTATTATTCTCCAGCTTTTATTTCCTGTTTCCTTGCCACTTTCTGGGTACTTCTGTGAGAGTAGACATTATCTCCAAGTAACAAGATAAGAAAATTGAAACTTTTCAATTGGTATTTATGAAGGTAGAAATGTTCCTTGCAGTTCTAGCAATAGTTGTCTCTAATAAAGTAATATTTAAATAATTTTAAATTGGATCTAGAAAGGACTTCAAATAATGACAGCAGTTACCATTTATTGAATGTATGTCATTCGCTGAGGCTGCTAGGCTTTATATACGTTGTCTCTAATTTTCACAACAATCCTGCAAGGTGGGTGGTGTGCCATTTTTCAGTCCAACTACAGTTAACAATAAGTGAGTAAGCAGTAAAACAGGTTTCAGAGTTGGACATACCTGGTCCAACCCCCTGCTCTTTCATTTGCTAGTATTGTGAACTTGGACCAAAAAGAACCTTTCCGAGTCTCATTTTCTTCACTGAGTTGTTCTTTAAGAATTCTTGATCCTAATGCAGAAATTTTTAAAGCTGTGAAATTTTGCTGGAAGGGTAACTGAAAGAGGTAATCTGTGTAACTCCATTATGTTTAACATGCAAATAAGTCATTTGGGAGGAAAAAGGCAAGTTTTTTCAGTCTTTTACTAATGGAAAGACTGAAATTCAGGCATTGAAATCAAAAACTAAATGTGTTCCTTCAAGGCCCAAAAGACTGCACCACGTCTGGCCAGTTAATGTTTTATATAATAATAGTAAATCATAGGCTCCACCATGGTGGCGCGTCTTTTACCTGACTAGTTCCATGCACAATTAACCTTGTGCTGCCTTTATATACAGAAGTATATTACAAAGTAAATTTTTTGTACCAACAATTTAGTTATTGTATAACAGATTAACACAGACATTAATAAAAAGCCAATTCTGTTGACATTTGAAAACAGCCAGCTAGCTTATTCTAGCAGAAAGAATTGCTCACAGAATATTCACGTAGGCTGTCAAGGTGGTCTTACAGCTAAACTTCTGAGTAAAGATTTTTAAATCCTTTGAGGTTGAGCTCAGTAAAAGAAAATCAGTTTTACCATGAGGAATTAATTAGTTTCAACAAGTCTCTGTCCTTATTGACTACTTTCTGACAATCTCACCTCTGAATTTCTTAGTGATTTCAGTAAGATTCCTATAAAATGAATTTATGACTTTTAGATTGACTTGAATTTACAGGTACCTGATATGCTTGAGAAGGTATTTAGAGATGGTGATGGGAATGACTTTGAAAACTAAACGTCAGTTATGGCCGGGCGCGGTGGCTCACGCCTGTAATCCTAGCTCTCTGGGAGGCCGAGGCGGGCGGATTGTTTGAGCTCAGGAGTTCGAAACCAGCCTGAGCAAGAGCAAGACCCCGTCTCTACTAAAAATACAAAGAAATTAATTGGACAACTAAAAATATATAGAAAAAATTAGCCGGGCATGGTGGTGCATGCCTGTAGTCCCAGCTACTTGGGCGGCTGAGGCAGGATTGCTTGAGCCCAGGAGTTTGAGGTTGCTGTGAGCTAGGCTGACGCCACGGCACTCACTCTAGCCCGGGCAACATAGTGAGACTCTGTCTCAAAAAAAAAAAAAAACGTCAGTTATGGCCCTATTGATTTAAGAACTGTTGTCTGGCTTTCTTGCTAATATAATCAGCTAAGTATAAGGCAAAAATTGTTTCATGTCAGTACCTAACCTAAGAGACCATGAACTGAACTTTTTTGTGAATAATTCAGTGAGAGATACTAGTTTAGCTCTATACTCATTTTTGGACAATCAGATGACATGATATCTCTCACTGCCAGGCCGTGGGACCCTGTCGGATGAACATGCTGGAGTGATATCTGTTCTAGCCCAGCAAGCAGCTAAGCTGACCTCTGACCCTACCGATATTCCCGTGGTGTGCCTAGAATCAGATAATGGGTGAGTAGATTTCAGCAGATCCCTTCCTTTCCTTTTTGCTCAGAAAAATCTCTGGTAAACCTGACTGGAGTCTGCCCTGTTTTCATCAGTGATTCTTATTCAAAGTACTTTGGGGAAGGTTCTTCATCCTTCAGACCACAGGAGCAGATACATCAATCTCTAATGTGTTTTCAGGCCACAGTGATATTTAAAGAAAGAGTAAAAACTGTCATGAACTATCAGTCTACCAAGAAAAAGTAATAAATAGCACAAAGGAAAACTAATCAGAGAATAAAAATTACTTCTAAAGTAATGGAAATACTAAAGATATTCCAAGTGAGGGTCTTCAGAATAATATTAAGTAAAAAGAATACAAAACTATGCACAGTATGATCAGTTTTATAAAAAGAAAAAAACATATACGGTCATGCATTGCTTAAGGATGGGGATATATTCTGAGAAATGCGTCATTAGGCAGTTTTGTCATTGTGCAAACATCATAGAGTGTACTTACACAAACCTAGATGGTACAGCCTACTACACACATAGACTATATGGTATAGCCTATTGCTCCTAGGCTACAAACCTGTACAGCATATGTTACTGTACTAAAAACTCTAAGCAGTTGTAACACAATGATAAGTATTTGTGTATCTAAACATAGAAAAGGTACGGTAAAAATGCGGTATAAAAGATTTTTTAAAAGGTACTTCTGAATAGAGCACTTACCATGAATGGAGCTTACAGGCCTGGAAGTTGATCCGGGTGAGTCAGTGAGTGGTGAGTGTATGTGAAGGCCTAGGATGTTACTATACACTACCGTAGACTTTATAAACACTGTACACTTAAGCTACACTAAATTTATTTTAAAATTTTTTCTTCAATAATAAGTTATTACTATAACTTTATAAACTTTTTAATTTTTTAACTTTTTTACTCTTTTGTAATAACACCTTTTGTAAAACACACAGCTTGTACAGCTGCACAAAACAAATTTTCTCTATATCCTTATTTAAGCTTTTTTTCTATTTAAACTTTTTTGTTAAAAACTAAGACACAAACACATTAGCCTAGGCCCACCCAAGGTCAAAATCATCAACATCACTGTCTTGAAGCTCTATATCTTGTCTAACTGAAAGGGGCATGGAGCTGTCATCTATGATAACAGTGCCTTCTGCTAGAACACCACCTGAAGGACTTGCCTGAAGTTTATAATAAGTAGGAGTACACTCTCAAATAATGACCAAAAGTAGAGTACAGTAAATGCATAAACCAGTAACATTTATTATCAAGTATTATGTACTGCATATAATGTATGTGTTATGCTTTTGTACAACTGGCAGTGCAGGTTTGTCTACACCAGCATCGCCACAGACATAAGTAACGTGTTGCAGTACAATGTCATGATGGCCCCAAAGTCACTGGGCGATAGGAATTTTTCAGCTCCATTGTAATCTTACGGGGCAACCATCATATATGCGGTCCATCCTTGGCCAAAACATTGTTATGTGTTGCATGACTATATAGTATACATGCAAATACAAAAAGAATCAGGAAAATATTAACAGCAGTTGTATGTATTGGGATTAAGGATTCATCTCATTTTTATATTTTTCTACATTTCCCAAATGTTTTGTAATGTTCATATATTGCTTTTATACATACAAAAAAAATGATACTGTGATTTCAGTTGTGTCCTAGACCAAACAACATTTTTAATCTTATGCCGAAGTCCCACTTGTAATGTTTCACTGAATATTTTCCTCTTTGCCTTTCAGGAACATTATGATCCAGAAGCATGATGGCATCACAGTGGCAGTGCACAAAATGGCCTCTTGACATACCAGTTCTCTAGCAGCCTTTCATAGGGACTCGATCCTACCTACGTTATCTTATAGAGCTACTAAAGTTCCAACAGTTAGGCTATTCATTTAATGGACATTGGGCACTTTTCTATTTATTTTAGAGTAAGTTGCTTCTTAGCATTCTCTGGACCAATCTATCAAGATATTAGTAAGAAAGGATCGTATTTTGAAGCAGCAGGTCCAGGTCACTTTGTATACAGAATTTTGTTATGTTGAATAAATCTGTTTGGAAGAAAACTTGGATCTTTTCTGGCTTTTTAAAACTCTTACCAAATGTTCATTTTTTTTCAATTATCAAGTTGTAATTTTTTTTGAAAAGTTCTTTGGTTCTGGCTTGTCTTTCAGAAGCTTCCCGAAATGTCTATATTCTCTCAGAAGTGTCCATGGATATTTAAGTCAAGCATACTCCTATCTCATGATAACATAATAGCTAATATCATTAAGTACTTAACAGTTGATCCTTGAACAACATAGGGATTAGGGTGCCAACCCCTCTGTCCCCTGCACAGTTGAAAATCCATGTATAACTTTTGACTCCTCAGAAACTTAACTATTAATAGCTTACTGTTGACTGGAAGCTTTACCGATAACATAAATATTCATTCAGCACAGATCTTGTATGTTACATGTATTATGTACTGTATTCTTACAGTAAAGTAAGCTAGAGAAGAAATATTAAGAAAATCATGAGGAAGAGAAAATATATTTACTATTCACTAAGTGGAAGTGAATCATAAAGGTCTTCATCTTTGTCATCTTCATATCGAGAAGGGTGACAGGAGGGATTGTCTTGCTGTCTCATGGGTGGCAGAGGTGGAAGAAAATCCAAGTGTCAGGGGATAGGGACCAGCAAAGTCACCATTTGGACTCAGGGCCTGTACTCTTAACACCCAGACCACCAAGGAAATTGGTATGTTTGGCCAGAACAACTTACCATTTGAATGTATAGGTCAACATTCTCTTCAACCTTTATATTTCTCAACAACAGAATTGTACACAAGCAGGCACACAAGACCTCTATTTGTTGAATTTGTAATTGCTCTTTTTAACATTCGACAGTAAAAAAAAATCTCCAGAATATTATTTATCCAAAAATATTAAGCATCTACAAGTATAAGGTGCTATGTGAGGATAGCAAAGATTTTTGAATAAGACACGGTTCTAGCCCTTGAGCTTGTACTTTAATAGAAGGGATATATATGTATGTTTGTCTTCACTGAACTTACCAATAGTGACAGTTACATATATTAGTTTTATTGTCTTTCTTCCCTACTGTATACATTTTAAGGATAGGAGCTTTGTCTTATTTGCAGATTTATTGCAAGCACCTATGACATAGTACTTCCTAGTACACAGTAGTCACATAATTGTAGTCACATAACTGCTTAATAGACGAGTATATAACTAATACAAGAGAGTTTTGTAGTATGGCCTGGGCCTCAAAAGATAGAATGATACTTGAAATAAGAGGAATAAGGAGTTTATAGGCAAAGGAAATGGCAATGACAGAATAAACTAAAATGAATAGGTAATAGCAAATGCTTTAGTCTATGAAGCAGGAGGTGAAAAAGCTGGGAGGTAGTGGCTAACTCAAGGAACTTTATCTGTTAAGAATCCTGGCCTTACTCTATTAGCAGAATGGGTTTTGGAGCAGGGGACAGTAAAGGTGGAATTTTGAGACTAGTCTGTAGACAGAGCTCATTTTTTTAAGAAGAAAAACCTCCTCATGCTCATCCACGTATTTCCCAATTGAAACTGCCCTTCACAAATTAATAAAGGGCTGCAAGGCAAGAACGGCGGTAAGGGCCTAAACTTTGCAAAGGCGCAGGCATAGCTAAGCATAATAACCAGCCACTGTCCCCTAGCTTGCTTTCCTATAATTGCTACTCAAGAGTCACATAGCTGATGGTCATAAAGATTCTTAACTTTCCCTATCAATAACATCACCCTTGTGAAACCTAAGACTAGTTTTTGAGGTATCTTCCAGGCCCTGCATTCTGGTGGAATGGCTGACCCACCCAGATAAGGGGCCCATACCAAGGAACTGACTCTACCGGCACTGTGACGCCCACCCAAGAACCAGCTCGAGCAAAGAAGACAACTTCTGCACCCCTATGGTTCCGCCCTGAACCCAGGCAATGAACAGACCCAACTGCCTAGCCTTTTGCCCACCGAACTATCTTTCAAATCCCTTTCTCACAAATTTTTGGGGAGATGGATTTGAGAAATTCCTCCCATCTCCTCACATGGCGCCTGTAATATTAAACTTTCTCCGCTGTAAACCCTGCTGTCTCACTGTATTGGCTTCCTCTTGAGCAGTGGGCAATGAACCTGGTTGGGCTGTAACACAATTCCTAGCCCAAAGTAATAAAAGCCAACTTTTAGGGAGTCTTTACTACGTGCTAGACATAATCTAAGTAATTTACATGAACTTATTAGTCCACTTAATCCTCAGTCTTAAAAAGTATTATCACCATTTTGGAGAAGAAATAGGCTCAGCAAGATAATTAGTTTAGGATCAAATATGAGAGACAAAAAGGAAACTGGCAGAAAGAGAACAAAGGAGAATGAAGAAGATGATTGAATTGTCTAATCCAGGCGACAGGAAAAATGGGGTGCCTTAGAAAAACGCAGTCAACTTAGAGGGGAAGGATTACAGAGAAAAGATGATTGGGTTTGATTTTAGATATTTTGAAATTGAATTTCTGCATCCTGATGGTAATCCTCAATAACAAAAACGTATTGAGTGCTCATTATGTACCAGGCACAGTGCTAAACCTTCCTTCAGGAGCCTCCCATCGCATTTAGAATAAAATTCAAAGTTCTTACCATGGCCTTCCAAGCCCTGAATGATTCAGCCCCTGCCCGCCTCTTGGGCCACATCTCATGCCGCCCTCTGTTTAACACATAATCTCTCTTGTCTAGCATGTCTGGCACATAGGAGGCAACTGTTTATAGGATGAAATGAATAAATTAACATACTTTCTCATTTGTTCTTCGCAACATTCTTTGAGGTAGGATACCGTGTACCTAATTCATTGATGAAACATAAGACTTGTGCTAGAAAGAGCTCCAGGCTGGAGATGGCTGATTTTTCAGTCTGTACAGAGCTAAAGCTCAAGTATGATCATATGAGGGTTTCCCAAGACCACTCCTGTGATGGTTAATTTTATGTGTCAACTTGACACACAAAATATCTTGGGCCACGGGGTGCCCAGATAGTTGGTTAAACATTATTTCTGGGTGTGTCTGTGACGGTGTTTCTAGATGAGATCAACATTTGAATCAGTAGACTGAGTGAAGAAAATTGCCCTCCCCACTGTGGGTGGGCCTCATGGAATCCCTTAAAGGCCTGAACAAAATAAAAGACTAAGAAAGAATTCCTTCTCTCTTCCTATCTTTTGAGTCGTCTGCCTTTGGACTCAGACTCAGAATGAAACTCTCACCATTGGCTCTCCTGGTTCTCAGGCCCTCTGACTCCAACTAAAACTTCCACCACCAGCTCTTCCGGTTTTCAGGCCTTTGGACTCGGACTGGAACTACACCATTGACTCTCCTGGGTCTCCAGCTCACTGACTGCAGATCTTGGGCTTCTTAGTCTCCATAATCATGTGTGCCAATTCCTCACAGTGTGAACTAAATATCCTAAGCTCCCCGCTGACTGAACAGACCCCCTCTTGGCCAAGGGGACCCCAGAGAAACCTTGAAATTGGGTCCCCCCTCCAAAAAAAAAAACAAAACACTGAGTTCCCAGCCATGACGGATGGGAGGTCAGACGTGCCTATTATACCTCCTCCTCACTAACAGCCATCAGGCTCTCTTCCCTAAGAGCTAAACACAAACCTGTCTTGTGATCCACTTCTCCCTTTCTGCGGTTTCGGCACTGCAACTGAAAGAGACCACGAACCATGGAGTGGTTCTAACCAGTAGACAGAGTATGCACAGTAGGGATTTTCATGTCCACTGCTTCACCTTTTGACACTGCTTCACTGAGGGCCAAAAACTCCACCCTCGGATCATGGTAACGCTGCCATTTTCTGAACATGGACCCCATGAAGGAGCATGAAGCTCAATTGTGCATATGCTTGTTTTTACCTTCATAAATATTCATGATTCCTCCTATAATTTGTTAAATATGTATAATATTTAGCCACCCTACTGAGCATAAATTCCTATTCCTATTGTTCCTCCCTCAAAGTACATGCTTGTGGCTTCTGCCCAAGGCTATGCTGTCCAGCCTGTCAGAACGGCCACCCGGCAGGCTGCAACCCTTTATGAGAAATAAAGCTCTCCTTTCCAAATTTATCAACCTCATCATTTCTTCAGTCGACAACAGTAAATTAATCTCATTATCTCCCCACCCCCACCTCCCCAGTTTCTTGCTCTGGAGAATATCCTATTCTTTCTCTGAAGAACATAGACTAATACAACCTCTCAAATTTGATGATTCACTAGGACGCAGGACTGAGCATTTAGAAAGGATACAAAGTAGAATCAGCCAAGGGAAAAGGAGGATGGGGCAAAGACCAGACAAAACCAGGAGCAAGCTTCCAAAAATTCTCTATTAGTAGAACCACACAGGATGCACTTCACTCCTCCAGCAACTGTGAAACGTTGCCACCCAGCGAAGCTCATTAGAGATTCAGTGCCCAAGGGGGCTGGTCATACACACGCCCTCTGCCTAGCATGTAGCAAAATTGCACATTCCCAAAAAGGAAAGCAAGTTAGCATAAACCATATTGTTTGCACAGTTTAGGCACAGTGATCCACTCCTACCATTTAGGGAATGGTGGGAACCCTCCTAAAATCTAAAGTCTCAACTGCCAGCCAGAGGCCAATCATGTAAAGAGGACTTTCAAAGAATAGGAGTCTCAGGAAAGCTGTGTTAACTCTTTTGCACAAGGACTGAATGAGGACAGGTAAAGATTCAGCTAAGCATAAAATCTTAGTTCTAGATGGTAGTGCTGTATTAAACTCTAAGTCCCTAAGTGTTAAAAATTATCCATGGGCTATATTTGACAGTGGAATGAGGGTAATAGCAGTGACCAAGGAAATCACGCTGCATTTTTGCTGAATAGCTTTAGGGCCAGAGTTAGATGATTAGAGGTTGACGGAATTATCACTGTTTAAAGACCCTATAAGCTTTATTAAGTCAATCGGGTACAGAGGTCAAAATGTTAACTAATATCCCAAAGGTGGCTTAAGAATTTTTTGTTCTTGCTATTAGGCCCCATCTGATTACAAAGAATTATTTTTAACAAACTAAGTACCAATAGTAGGCCTAATATGCAGTCTCCTTGCACATGTTCATTAATCCTCACAACAACCTTGTGAAATAGTATCAGCCACATCTTACAGTTTTGGAAAGAGAGAGGGCAACCTGCCCAGCATCTCCAGGCTTAAAACATGGCAAAATTGAGATTCTAACAAAGTCTGCATTTCCCACTAGGTCTCGAGGCTTCCTGTTAATGTACCTGTATGAAAGATATGTCTGAAGGAGTTCAGCTCTGAGGACTTTGAAGCCCTCTTAGCCCTATGAATGACTCACTGTTCTGTCACATTTCAAATCCGACCCAGGCCTTAGTTACCATCAGAGTTCCCTATCAATACACAGCCTAGCCTCATTTCATCCTGTGGTTAGAATCACAGACAGCTTTGCTTTAAAAGAGCAACAAGCATGCCACCAAAAAAAATTCAAAAATCAATTCTATAGATGTTTACTACAAAAAGTTTTCTGGAGTTTGTTAGTAATCACAAACAGCTCTCTGAGAAACACTCACCTTTTCTCTTTGGGGTTTTGCCTTCTGCTGAATGTTTATTTGATCTCTACCACCAGCACCACATAACTGCATAATCTTTGCATGGTTACATTTATAGGGCAACCTCCCAAACCACTAAGCTGTCCTTCCACAGCATTTTGGTCAAAAAGTATTATAGAGTTTTGTTTTAAGAACCTGAGCAGCCCCCTGCTTATTAAAAAGGAACATACATAACTATGTGCAGACTTTCCAGATAAAACAAAAAATACACACTTTGGCCTAAAATACACTCCAGTTTAAAATCTGGAATGTTGGTGTGAGGAGATGAAAGCCAATTTCTTGTTGATTTTTTTTTTTTTTTTTTTGGAGGGTGGAACAGAGGAAGGAAATGGGAAAAAAAACTTGAATTATCCCAGTAATTTTCTAGGAGACTCAGCCTTAACCATTTTCAAAATGCAACAAGAAAAAAAAAGTTTCATTAACATTACTACAATATACATCTTTTGTGGGAAGCGTCTGAAGTTAAGGCAACAAAAATGCAATTAAAATGGGGCCTGGAACCCCAAATTAGTAACCAGAATCTGTAGTAAATACACAAAAGGCCACACCAATGGGCTAAATTTACTGAAGATCGCCATTTGTGGCCCAGAAAATGTCTCTCCCACCTCTGAGAGAGTTGTGTATTTCTCCTATAAAATAAGCACGTCTTGAGAATCTCCCTGAGGAACTCTACAGAAGCACGGATTAGAGTTCTGGGGCCCCACCCCTTGCCTTGAGCATAGTCATCAAAAGGACTTTCCCCTTGGTTTACTCTGTTGCTTTTGAGCCCAGGGTGAAAAATTTTACTTTCTGAGTAACAGTGGGTGGAGGGAGGGCCTGCGACGACATCAAATCATAGACGTCCCTCCTCCCCTCAGGAAGTAAAGTCCACTGGCAGGAGTGCCTAAACCGGATCTGCACTCCTCGGCTCTCACAATGCTCACTTGTTTTCACAGTGCAGCAAAACAAAATGCCTTACAAAGAGTAACATTCTAGAAAATAGTATAATTTATTTTTCTTTCCAAATTGCCTCGTCTGTGGAGAATTCATTTGCTGAAACACCACATCGAAGGTAAGATGGACACGAGATTGTGTGTTGGGTTGGTTTTCTACGTCTTGGATGACCAGCATCTTTCTCCCCGTCCAGCCTGCTCACCAGATGGCCACTCCACACACCCTGCCAGCTCATTCTCCTTTCCAGTAAGAAACAGCCTGCCTTCAACCTGACGGGGAAATAACGAGTGCTGTACTCCTTCCTCGGAACAGTTACATTTTCTTTTTGCTCTCTCTCTATATATGCATATTTATTTTACAGAATCATTTGTGAGGAAGTAGCATAGTGAAATATTTCACTCCTGAATACTTTAGCATGCATCTCATAAGAACAAGAACATTCTCATGCAGAACCACAAGACCACCACCATCACACCCAAGAGATTTATCCTTGGTATGGTATCCTCTACTATACAGTGGATATTTCAATTTCCTATTGTCCTTTACAACTTTTTTTTCTCATCCAGGATCCATCATTCAAGGAGGAGGTATTGCATTTTCTTGTCATTTCTATTTAGCTCTTAGAATATTTACATTTAGCATGTGCCTTATACAGGGAATTCCTCAACTCAAGGCTCTCCCTCCCTTTCTATTTCTCTAAAATCAAGAGCTCACCCAGAGGCCAGGAGGGTGATGCATAGCTTCCCCAAGGAATTGGCTTGCAGACCTGGGAGGAAGGACACTGAGCACAGTGCTAGGAGTGGCCACCCCACAATCACAGAGGTCGGGCTTTGCAGCTAACCAAGTCCTTAGTTATGTCAGGCACACTTCATATGCAACGGGGTGGGGGGGACGGTAATTACAGTACCAGTGGTTTTATACCACAGAGAAAAATAAAATTTAAAAACTACTTTGTCAGCTGAATCAACTATGTCTTGGATTTGTCACAGGGATCTTCTGTCTTCTGCATTCAAAACAGAGGGAGCATCATGCTGAAGAGGAAGGGGAAGGCCCGACCTTACACTAAAACCCTGGATGGAGGATGGGGATGGATGATTGTGTTTCATTTTTTTCTGGTAAGAATTTGCTTTCTTTCCCCTTTCCTACTGTCTGAAAGAGGGCTCTCTGGAGAAAGGCTCAGAGCTGCGTAAGATCACTTAGGAAATCGCTGGCATTTGAGTTTGGGGGGCGGAGGGCAGAACAAGGCCAGCAATTATCAGTAACTGCTAAGGTCAGAGGCCCATGCTGAACCGAGGAGAAAGCTAAAAATGTCCATCCTCTACTCTTCCTGCCTACCACTCCTTAAACCTAAAGAATGCTCCAGTCATGACCAGCAACTCTGCCTTGGCTGCATGGCAATTAGGATTTGGGGCTAATCATACTTTTGACCAGCCCAGAAGTAGCACTGGGAAGTGCTAAAAAGTGCTTTAGGGTGGGTTCCCCAGCCTAGTAATAATGCTGGCAGCAGCCCCCTTCATTGCGAGGGATAGGGGACATTTCCTCCCTGTTCAGCCTGATGTCAACTTCCCAACTCACCCCCACTAACTATAATTTATACTATTATTTCTGATGTTTCCAGGAAGAGAGAAGGCTGTGGATTTTGAAATGAGAGGCTGATTTTTCTCCTTCATCCATAAGCAACTAGACTAGGCATTCAATTTTTTAATTTTTTTTTTTTTTTTTTTTGGAAACAGGGTTTTGCTCTACTGCCCAAGGCTGGAGTGCGGTGGTGCAATCATAGCTCACTGCACCCTGGAATTCCTGGGCTCAAGCAGTCCTTCCGCCTCAGCCTCCCAAGTAGGTAGGATTACAGGCATGTGCCGCCACACCCAGCTAATTAAAAAAAAAAAAAGATTTGTAGAGATGGGGTTTTGCTATGTTGCCCAGGCTGGTGGCATTCTGTTTTTTGTTTTTTCGAGACAGGGTCTCTCTGTTGTCATCCTGGCTAGAGTGCGGTGGCATAATCATAGCTCACTGCAACCTCAAACTCCTGAGCTCAAGCGATCCTCCTGCTTCAACCTCCTGAGTAGCTGGGACTACAGTACATACTACCACGCCCGGCTACTTTTTCTATTTTGTAGAGACAGGGTCTCAGTATGTTGCTTAGGCTGGTCTCAAACTCTTGGCCTCAAGTGATCTTCCTGCCCTGGCCTCTCTAAGTGCTAGGAATACAGGTGTGAGCCACCACGCCCAGCTGCATTTTTTTTTAATTAACTTATTTCCCTCATCTTCCCAGAAGCTCCTGGGGCTGCTATATGAGATGGGTGATCTGCTCATCAGCATGCCCATTCTAGAATGCTGGTGAGTCCCATCACGGCTGTGCCCCAAACAGCTCTACAGAGTAGCGCCAGCCAGTTCCACAATTCCTCTTAAGTGTTCCCAGATAAGTTCTATTAACTTTCAAGTGTACTCACAAAAACACCCTTTTCCTCCTGATGCTTCTGCCCTGCTCAGCCCTACGGTAAGCAGCTCACAGGGAAGGGTAATGAAGACTACTAATAATCCTCTAGTCCATAATGTGGATAACTAAGAACTCTACAAACAGGACAGTGGGAAAACATGTCTCTTCTCTAGTGACAGAGAAGAAAGTAGGGGCAGAGATTCCTAGCCAGGATTTATGTAATACAAAACTCCTGGCAAATAGAGGACTATTTGCTAAACATTAGCTTCATTACTAAAGAATGTGGAATCTCATTTTTCCCCTCAGATATGTTACTAAGAGGGAAACTAAGGATGCCCTAAGTCTGAGAGCCCTTCCTGCAGCTGGACCACCTCCCCAATCATAAGCTTTGCAGAATGGGCTCTGTAGGTGAGGATCTCCAGTTCTGTGTTTTTCCCAAGTAACCACTCCTTACTTGTCCTATATTATCCTTTGAGGATTGGATGTTATTTACCAGTTTAGTTGCCAGTAGGTAAAACTACCTAATAACCAGATTAATAAACAATGTCCCATTTTTGGGGTATGATGCTGCTTATTAAAGCCAAAAAATATATATCGGATCCTCAGAATGTTAACAATGTCCTCAAGGGCTGATCACCCACAGTTGAAATTTGGATGACTATATGCTTTTTTTTTTTTTGTAAGAATTACAAGTGTTCTCCCGTATAATGGGAGCTCCTAAAAAGGCGAGTGAAAAATAACTGAATGTACTTTAAAGTAGGGAGCTTCCTACTTTAAAAAAAAAATTAAGGGATTCATTCGAACCAACTTACCACGCTTTAATAACTATTAATATATATTTGTATGATTGCTTTCTGTATTGTCTATCTCACTGGACTGAATGTTCCATGAGGGCAGGTACCATGTTTGCACTGCTCACCAGTATACACTCAATACTGTAAGCCCAGCCCTACTATATACATAGCCTGGAACATAGTAGGCACTCAATACCTATTGGTGGACGGATGAATGAACTGATGGACACTTATGAATAAACACAGGAGGGGGATAGGTGATGAAATAGGAGACAGGAAGCGGTCTTGTAAGACATGCTAAGAACATTGGTTATCTTGAGGCTATGAGGAGCTAATGAGAAAAATTAAGCAGGGGAGTGATGGGATCAGAATTGCATTTCAGATATAGAGCTCTGGCTGCAGGATGAATAATGGATTAGTGGGGTGCTAAATTAAGGCAGTAACAATGAGAACAGAGAAAACAGATCTGAGCAATATCAAGGAGGTAGCCTTTTAAGACTTAGTAGTTAGATGTCAGGAAAAAAGAGTGAGTCAATCAATCTTGGGTTGTTGGCTTGGGCTACTTGGAGGATAATGAATGCCATTCGCAGAGGTGGAAGACATAGGAAGAGGGGGAGAAAATCTGAAGATGGCTTCGATGGTTTAATTTTGACACTCTGAGTCTGAGGGTCTTATAACATAGCCAATGTGTTCAACATATATAGTCTGTGCATTTGGAGCACAGGATCTGCATACTGAAATGTGTGTCATCAGCATAGATAGTAGTTTGGATTTCGAGGCAGGGTAGGTAAAATCACCAGCGAGAGGGAGGACTAGGACATAACCCTGGGAAAAATCAATGTCTAGGGCGTGGGAGCTCACAGAGAAAACTGAGAAAGAGTCAGACAAGTGGCAATCCAGAAATGTAGTGTCACAAAAGCTTAAGGCAGAAATTTCCAAGAGAGTGATGAGCGGATTCAATAGAATAGAATAGAATAGAATAGAGGTCAAATATGATAGAAATGACAAGAATATGATAGAAATGACAAGTCTATTGGTCTAGCAATGAAGAAGTCTCTGATAACCTTGATAAGAGCTGGTACAGTGAAGCGGGTGGTGGTGGGAGGGCTTTTTCAGCGTAGTGGGATAAGAGGAAGTAGAGATATCTAACAGACTATTCCTTAAAGAACTTTGTCTGTGAAGGTCAGGAAGAACTAGAGTGATACTAGAAAAGGGATGCAGGATAGAAGGAAACTATTATTAAATAAGAGTAGCTGGTAAAGTTCAAAATGGGCCACTGAGGCTGATCTAGTCCCCTTTCCCAAGACAATTAGAATGGTCTGGTGAGGGAGCTCTTACTGAGGGGTAGGGGAAGGCCTGCTTAAGGTATTCCTACCAGGTTCAACCCAATCAACTGCTTTTAAAACCAAAAAGGAAATGAGGGACTGCAGAAGTTCTAGGGTTTTTGTTTTATTTTGGGGTGGGCCATTTACAACATCTGATGTGGGCTCTAGTGAAGGAACTAAAACCCACCCCACCAAGCTTGGTCAAAGGCGTGGGATTAGGAAGGATAATTCAGATTTATGTAGTCTGCTCAATTAGGGAAAACCTAGATCTTGGGAGAGATTTTTAATACCTGAGTCAAAACAGAAACAAAGTTGGAAGGTTTTAAGTTAAGGGAGGGGAGCATGGTAGATGCAAAGGCTCTGCCCTTGGTATTCTTGACACACAGACCCAGCTATTAGAAACAAATCAACCATTCATTGCTGCTACACCCAGACATCAGGGACAGACCAGAAAGGAAAGGTTCTGAACTGGTGGGACCTGCAGCAGCTAGCTAAATTCAGGTGGTTAAAAATATAGAGATCAGCATCCTCTAGAGACCAGCACAGAACTCACGTCTACAGGGGAAAAAAAAAGCTTACTTGACAGAACGGCACATTTAGTGTTTCTTGCTCATCAAGGGCACAATCACCACTCTGTTTATTTTGTACTAAGGGAAACCAGTCTAGGTCATTTGGGATTTGTGTATAATTTTCTAGCCTGATTTCCTGCTAGAAATGCCTTGGAGGAAAATTATGGTTACCAATTGCCTGAATGGGGGCCTAATAAAATGTCCTTTTCACTTTTGAATATATAGTCCTAGTGTCCACAGCATTGTTCATTCTAAATATTTTGTACCTTCCATAAAATCAGAATGGGAAAAAATGTAAGGGACTTCCTCATCACCCCAACTTTTGCGATCTCTGAACATCATCACCAATTCTTGATGGTCTTCAGACAAGAAATAACACTAGTCTGTAATGAGAGTCTGGTGATGGGCATGAAAAGGAGGGAAAGGTCTTGATGATTATTAGGAAGGCAGGGGCTGAGAAAACGAGGTGTCTAAGAGAAAGTACATCTCTACCTCAGCTAAGTGGGTGGATAGTACCAATAAAAAAAATTGAAGATTTTTTGGGTAAGGGAAAGATGAGTTTAGGTTTGGACAAGTTGACCAGAGTTAGAAGGATATACTAGACAGTTATCTAAGTCTGAAGCTCTTGGGATGGCAGAATGGTAACATTAACAAAACCACAGTTAATTAAGTGCCAAATAGTAAGTACCTTATCAGAATTTTCTCAATTGATCTTCACAAGCTGGGCACAGTAGCTCATGCCTGTAATCCCAGCACTTTGGGAGGCTGAGACAGGAGGATCACTTGAGGCCAGGAGTTTAGACCAACCTGGGCAACATAGCAAGACCCCATTACTACAAAAAATTAAAAAACTAGCCAGGCGTGGTGGCACATGCCTATAGTCCCAGCTACTCAGGAGGCTGAGCCAGGTGGATGGCTTCGGCCTTAGAGTTTGAGGTTGCAGGAAGCTGTGATGGCACCACTGCACTCTAGCTCAGGTGACAGAGACCCTATCTCAAAAAAAATTTGTTTAAATCAATCTTCACAGCCCTAGGAGATAGGTCATTATTTTCATTCTCCTCACTTTACAACTCCTAAGAAGTCATTTGCCCAAGGTCATGCCCCCCTATAGAAAGCAGAGCCAGGATGAAGCTAAGGCAGACTGATTACAGAACCACACTCAGCTGTATCACTCTGAGTATGTGTGGGTGGTAATTAAAACCCTGACAGTGAATGATTGTCCAGGAAGCAGATATTAAGTGAGAAGAGTGCAGAACCACAGGGGAAAAAATACTTACCAGCTTGGCGGAGCAAGTGAATCAGTGACAGGAAACCTAAGGTTCCATGGTTCTTACGCAGTGCAAGGCCAGATTGAAAAGCCAAGGCCACTGAAACAAGGACAAGAAACGGGGAAGCTAGGAAGCCCCAGGAGACAGCGAATACACCTTAGCTCCAGAGCTTTGAGAATGAATGCAGATCCTGGTTAGGTTTAGGTTTCCGTTTCCCCACCTGACCCCTCCCTGCAAGGGATAAAGTTCGGCTGCTAAGCAAAAATGGAGAGGAAGAATAGCATTTAACTGCCCCCAGGCTCATCAGTATTCCAGGAAACAAGGGTTTTCTACAGAAAGAAAACCTGACCACAAAATGAGCGATTCTCTTAGTGCAGGGGAAGGGACTGTGCAGGGGAGTGTTAAATGGGAAAAAGAAAGAAAAGGTTGGGGCACGTGCCATAACCACAAGATGACCATATAACCCAGTTAACCCTTGCTGTCCTGGCAAAGTGAAGCGCTCCAACAAATTATAAGGTCACCCTATTTATATATCAGGTGAGGGAGGGTACTGAGCTCAAAAGCAGAGTCAAAGCAAAGCTAACCTAAGTACTTAGAGAGTAATTCTTCCTCTTTTGGACAAATGCTGTTCTCCCACAAAGGTAACTAGAATTGGCTGTCTTTAGCAGATGCTATTTTAACAAGACAGTAGAATAGTGGTTGGTCTAGAGTCAGTACATCTGGGTTCAAATCTCAGCTCCAGTACCCCTAATCTTAAGCACCTTACCTCTTTGAACTTCAATTTACTGATCTTTAATACAATATTAACACACCTATTCTGAAGCCTTGAAATGAGGATTAAATGAGATGCTTTCAGTTAAAGTGCTTAGCAACTCTAAAAAGAATGGACCCCCCCTCACCAATAAAATGAGGATCAACCCATAAAGCAAACTGGTAAACACTAGTGAGCTGGGAGAATCTTAATCTTAACCTCTCAAAGCGGTAACCTCTTCTGTAATGGCTCACTCACCAGCTGACTTGGACTCTGCTGCTTTGATTTAGGTAAATGTGTTTGTGATGGGGATGACCAAGACTTTTGCCATTTTTTTTGTGGTCTTTCAAGAAGAGTTTGAAGGCACCTCAGAGCAAACTGGTTGGATTGGATCCATCATGTCATCACTTCGCTTCTCTGCAGGTATAAAGCTGGCAATAAGCTTGCTGTCCACGGAGAAGAATCACAAAGGGCAAGTCCAAGGAGACTCTGGGTCAGTCATTCAAGACTGAAGCATTGCTAAAATTCAGCTTCATTTATTAACACGTAATGCTGAGAAAGTAAGGAATTAGTGTTTAGCCTCCACTTGACTTGGTAACTAAGTTGGGAAAACTGGGGTTCAAATAAAGAGAGTTGAAGAATTCATTTACTTCCATGATTCAATTTTTCATGTCTTATTTCCTTCCACTGTCTGGTAATGTTTTAATATAGGTTTAGTGAGCCAGGCCCTCAACCTGGAAGTCAGACCATGAAGTTCTAGTCATCTGAGTATACTTTAAAACATATAGAACCAATTTCTCCTCCTTTAGTTTTATTTGGAACTGTAATATGGTGGAGGGGCAAATTAGTGATTCAACCTTGTTCCAGTTACTGGTCAGAGGATGCGACCTCATTTTGTGGAGGTTTTATAATGCATTTCAATAAGCTTCTCCTTCAAACTTTATTTACAATCCACTTATGTTTAAAACTCACTCTCCATCCAAAAAGCAAAATAGTTTGGGACCTGGTAATATTAAGACATGCAATACACTTTTTTGAAGGATACACAATACTCCAAAGAAGACTCCACTTCATTCATTTAAATTAGACAACAGAGGTAAGGGATGCCAGAGCATATTTACCTAGGAGTTGCCTGTCTTTATTCTCCTAAGGTCCCCTGGTTGCCATTATTTGTGACATATTTGGTGAGAAAACTACTTCCATTCTTGGGACTTTTCTTGTTACCGGTGGATATCTGATCAGCAGTTGGGCTACAAGCATTCCCTTTCTTTGTGTGACTATGGGACTTTTGCCTGGTGAGTTCATCATAAATGATTATAAAAGATCAATAGGAACCCTCCCTTCTACTGTTCTTGGGTCCAAAGGCCTAGTTATATTATCTCAGATCCAGGAGAATATATCATCTGGTACCAAGTCACTTAATGTGAAAGTGATTATAAACTATTTTCTTTTAGGTTTGGGTTCTGCTTTCTTGTACCAAGCAGCTGCTGTGGTAACTACCAAATATTTCAAAAAACGACTGGCTCTTTCTACAGCTATTGCCCGTTCTGGGATGGGACTGACATTTCTCTTGGCACCCTTTACAAAATTCTTGATAGATCTGTACGACTGGACAGGTGGGTCATTCTGAATTTCTGAATTATCAACTCTGCAAGATTTAATGTTCAGCTCTCTCCCTCTGATGACTGAAAAGTAAAGACTTTTAGAGCAATCGATTTCACAAGCTCTTGCCAGAGAGGAAATGAGCATGATTTCTAAAGAAAACATGCTCCTCTTCCTTAGAGAATACACAGCAGGAGAGATCCCGAACTACCTGCAGGCTTTGCCAGCTCTCACAAGCAACTCAGAAATCGCCATAGGGCTCAGTGTCTGAGGAGAGGAGGGCACTCTGCAGCTGGGAGCGCCTGGCAGTGAAAGTGACACTCCCCTGGAAACAAGGCTCCCCCCTCACCAAAGCATTCACTTTTCACATTTTTCCTTTAAGAAAAAAATGTGCATTTAAAAAATGCCTCCATCAGACTCACTAAAATATATAAAAAAGAAAAAATACTTTGGTGAAAAGAAGATTATGTTCCTTAATAGTCAATCCTTTACATACTGTCAACTATAAATTTTCACAAGTAAACCATTCACCCCACAATGTTCTTTGTGCCTGAGGCAACACTTGGATTAAAATAACATTAAATTACTAGAATATACATGTATGTACATATATGTATGTGCCTGTATTCATATGCCTACTTCTATCTACATAGTAGGTTTGTTGAATCTTTCCTTTCCCAAATAGAAAACTATTCAGTAGTCTCATGGTGAATGGGAGCAGCTGACAAATCCATGACAGGATAACAGAACCTATAGCCCATTCTATCTTTGGAAGCACCACACAAAAGTCGCAACTTTGGTCAGGACATGCTGAATTCAATCAACTATTCAGCTTTCTTTCAAGGAAATTTTAAAAAATGTCATAGGATGAAAAGCTGTTCCCTCTTCTATACCTGTTTCCAAATGACTCCTTTCATCTAATTTTATATTTTTTGTACCTAAATCTATACCTTCACTTCAGGTTATTTAAAATACCTACTTAAAACACACTATAAATTTTTTAATATGTGAAATAAGCTCCCCCCAAAAAACTTGGGTTTTTTTCCCCTTTAGCACAAATAACAACCTCTCCTTCCATCCTGTCTATTGGTGTAACTTTCTGGTTTTCTATCTCCAAAGGACTCTGTTTTTACAGGGATACGGCAGTGTATACAGCTAACAATTAAGTCAAATTCAGGGGGCAAAGTAGTGTTTTCAAGAATTATTGGGGCTGGACGTGGTGGCTCATGTCTATAATCCTAGGACTTTGGAAGGCCAAGGCAAGAGGATTGCTTGAGGTCAGGAGTTCGAGACCTGCCTGTGCAGGAGCGAGACCCCGTCCTTACAAAAAATAGAAAAATTAGCCAGGAATGGTGGTGTACCTGTAGTCCCAGCTCCTCAGGAGGCTGAGGCAGGAGGATTGCTTAAGCTCAGGAGTTTGAGGTTTCAATGAGCTATGATCACGCCCACTGCACTCTAGATCACGCCCACTGCACTCTAGCCAGGACAACATAGCGAGACCCTGTCTCAAAAAAAAAAAATTATTGGACTATGGGGTGGGGTCTCTTCTGAGCCTATAAATACAAAGTAGAACCGTGAACTGAAAGGTTTAACTTAATTTCTCAAATTCTTTCCTCTATTTAGGTGCCCTGATATTATTTGGAGCTATCACATTGAATTTGGTGCCTTCTAGTATGCTCTTAAGACCCATTCATATCAAAAATGAGAACAATTCTGACACTAAAGATGAAGGTGGCAGTTTGTCTGCAAGTGATCCAGAGGCACTATGTGGGACAGAAACAACATACTGCAATGAGACACAAGAATCTACCATCAAAGACAGTACTATGCAGAAGGCTGGACAACCCAGTAAAAGCTTAACGACCTCACAAAATCAAAGTGAAGAGTTGAACAATGGGCCTAACAGGAAAAGACTCTTATTAATAAGTAATGAAGAAAGTTATGAGAAAAAGGCTATTTTGTGGAGCTGCAAACAAAAACTCTTTGATATTTCTCTCTTTAGGAATCCTTTCTTCTACATATTTACCTGGTCTTTTCTTCTCAGTCAGTTAGCATATTTTATCCCTACCTTTCACCTGGTAGCCAGAGCCAAAACACTGGACATTGACATCATGGATGCCTCTTACCTTGTTTCCGTAGCTGGTAAGAAAACCCACTTTAACCTCCTACCCAAAAGGAAAAATGAACTTGATTTTATAAAATTTTATGAGAAAGCTGAAGAAAAACGACAATAAAAGAGGAGTCGTGGGAGGGCAAATCTTTCGAAGCTAGACAGAGCACCGGGGCATTTCCCTGAACAGATCTCTATCACTGCATCTTGCACATAAGCTCCCTTACTGGACAGCAGACCCGAAACCATCTTACTTATCTTCAACTATCAGGGTCTGACAAGATATACGTTAATATTTGTTGGATAGATGCTGAATTTCAAAAAGCTGATGCTCAGTGGCAATAGCCACTCCGGGAAACAGAAAACCCCAGGTAGACAGCAATAGTGCAGTGGTTGAAAGTATTAATTCTGGAACTAAACTTTCCTGGTTCAAGTTCCTGCTCTGTATTTCCTAGCTGTGTGAACTTCAGCAAGTTACTTTTCTTCTCTGTGCCTCCATTTCCCAATCTGTAATATGGGGATAATAGTACCTACCCTCATAAGGTTGTCAGGATTAAAAAAATACATATAGAGTTTCAATTATGTTCTATTAATTTTTGTAGCTAAGTGTTTTCCCCTGTGAACTCATAATAAGACAGATAAATATGACTCTTAAGGCTAGTGACTGATGAATTAGCTGATATTTAAAATAAATTAGAATGTAAAATGCTTGATTCAGAAGATATGGATTCTCTCAACTGATAAAATAGGGAGTCTAAAAAAATTAAGACAGGAGATGTAACTGGTTTGCTCTAATTATCTGGAAATGCTCAGAAGCAGAACATTAATTTTTCTCTAATTTCTTGAAAAAAAAATGAATTTACCAAACTCTTACAAAACACTACACCTGGTTTCAACTGTTCCAACTGTAAAGATACTCTGCTTCAGTCAAATAAAGCTTGTGTACACAAGACAAAGACACAGGGCTAAACTGACTTTTTTCACTAAAATGTCTGGTAGTATCAATTTAGATCTGGTTAGGGCTATAAAATGGGACCAAAAAAACATAAGAAAGTCCTAATATGTATTCCAGGAACTGTAAAAATAGACATCGAAATGATAGCATGCATTTTTTGTTCCTTTTTTTAATGGAGCAATTTATGTTTGAACCACATAAAGAATTTAAAGAACAAAACAACTGAACTCATACTACCCTTGGTGAAAATCTTTCAGCCTTTAACTGCTACATTAGTTTATAACAGGATAAAGAGTAAGAGTGCTCTGTTATCATGAAACTAAGTGAAAAGTGTGGTTCTTAAATTTTATTCAAGCTACACCACAGCTCCAATGTTGAAAATATGATCTCCCATTTCCAGACTCCCATTTTCAAATTAAGCATAATGACCTTTAAAGGAAGACTTAATTCCTAAAACTTCATATGCAATTATGAATCCCAACATCTATTTTTTTTAACACATGATTTTATTATTTATACTTCTATATTCTACCATATGGCCTCCCTAAGACACTGACCTAAGGGTCTACAATGCTTTAGAAATCTCACTTTCTCACCTGCGGGACCTATTAGACGAAGAGACTGCCTGGCCTTCAGAGCCCAGAGTCCTCTGTAACCAGGGATTACCAGTTTGGTGGTATGAGCTCTCCAAACAGAAAACACACCTGGTAGGCCGGGCATGGTGGCTCACGTCTATAATCCTAGCACTCTGGGAGGCCAAGGTGGGAGGATTGCTCGAGGTGAGGAGTTTGAGACCAGCCTAAGCAAGAGCGAGACCCTGTCTCCACTAAAAATAGAAAGAAATTAGCCAGACAACTAAAAATATATATAAAAAATCAGCTGGGCATGGTGGCACATGCCTGTAGTCCCAGCTACTCGGGAGGCTGAGGCAGGAGGATTGCTTCAGCCCAGGAGTTTGAGGTTGCTGTGAGCTAGGCTGACGCCACGGCACTCTAGCCGGGGCAACATAGTGAGCCTCTGTCTCAAAAAAAAAAAAAAAAGAAAATACACCTGGCAACTGGATGGGTCTTCTACCCAATCCTAGAGAAGCCTTTTTGGGTGTTATATTAAAAATGTTTGGAGCAGATAAGTAAATGATAGAGCCTATTGATAAGCAAATGAAACTTTTTTTTCTCACATATCCTAGCCTCGGGATGAGGTTATATTACTTGAGAAAAGATGTCTTATGCATTCATATTTTTCCAAGGGGTAGGAAAATGAAATTAGGATTTCATAAGCCTTTTTCAATACTGTTCCAGGTATCACTGAGACAGTCAGTCAGATTATTTCTGGATGGGTTGCCGATCAAAACTGGATCAAGAAGTACCATTACCACAAGTCTTACCTCATCCTCTGTGGCATCACTAACCTGCTTGCTCCTTTAGCCACCACATTTCCACTACTTATGACTTACACCATCTTCTTCGCCATTTTTGCTGGTGGCTACCTGGCACTGATACTTCCTGTACTGGTAAGTAGATGCACTCATTAACATTGTTAAACCATTTAATAAAAGTATTAGCAACAACCTCCCCAAAAGAGAATACATACTTTATATTAATTTTATAACCAAAAAAAAATCATACCAAAGGCCTCAGAAACCTATAGCTATATCCTGGTCCAGTTATTCATCTCACCTTGGGGGTAGGATGGTGAGAAGACTGTTCATATGGGACAGGAAAGAAATGAAAGCAAAAAAGGGATCAGCAGGATCCCACTTTGCTTATCAGTCTCCCAAAAGATTAGGCTTGTGTTCACTCCAGAAATGGCTCCTTCTAAGACACAATCAAAGAATTCTCTAAGAACTCTTCAAGAGAAAAAGGGATTTCCTGACCAGTGTGGTTTCTTTCTTGCTGAAATTGCCTTGGTCCTGTGTACTTTAATAGGGACATTGTTTTTTATCTCCTCTCTATTTTTACCCCAAATTGACTTAAAGTCCTGAACCCAAATAGAACTGAAATACTTACACAAACATTTCTGTGTCCTGGGAACCCTTTGGAACCCCGTGGGTTCTTCTTAGAACCATGTCCTCAACATGTTGAAAAAGAATCCCTGGGAAACTTCTGCTCTCATATCAATACTAGCATAACTGCTACAGGATACCGTATGAGGCTTGGGCAGAAAAATCAAGCTTCCTAAAGCTGAAATCAACTCCTTGCAGTATCTGATTTCTTACAAACCAATGGCCATTACTTAGCCACAGGCAGATTCAAGAATGTCATCACTGTCAGCTCATATTATAAATATCACTTTTAAATAGTGAAAATCAACAAGATTTGGGGGGAAAATAACCCCTGAACCACCAAAAATTTTTTTTAAAAAAATAAAAACAAAATCCTAGTGATCCTGACTGATAAACTGAAAACACTGCTTACCAAGCAAAGTTACTATTCCCTATTTGACCTCAGCTCTCCTTCATAATATTGGGGGAAAAGGCCATCCAAATCAGCTCTGAAGTCAAACTGTTCACAGTTTGAGATAACTGAAACAGTATTTACCGTTTTTAGGAATAGGTCTCTACAGAATTTCACCCTTAATAATAGCTAACTCTGAATTCTAATTCCTACAGGTTGATCTGTCTATGAATTCTACAGTACACAGGTTTTTGGGACTTGCTGGTTTCTTTGCTGGGATGGCTATCCTTGCTGGACCACCTATAGCAGGTAACAGCTTTGCTACATTCTGAGCAAATTTTAATAGCAAAAAAAATAAACACTGATCCAGGATTAATGGTTAACATGATGACAGTATCAAGTTAAAAGCAATTGGTATTTTTGCCTTTCCTATACTTACTCTCACTCCATCACCAATATAGGAAAATCAGAAGGTTGTTAATTCAACAGATGTGCCAGAGTTTTATTAGAATCTCAAAGACCCACAATGCTTTAAAAAAAGAAAAACTAGCATCTTTTATCTAAACAGGAATCACTTTTACAGAGCTTAAAAGTTGCAAGCCTGATACCTTTGTTCTTCTCATGTGCCATACAGATGGTTCAGGGTTGCCTAGTATCTGTTCTATTCAAAGAGGAATGAAGGCCCTTCATATTCTGTCTATACCAATGGTGGGAAGATACTTGGCCTAAAGGCTAGAGTTTCTGTGGAGAGGATATCTGGGGCCAGTGGAAAACATTACAGGTACAGTAAATATTTGGGGAGTTCTGATTATGTAAGTTAACTTTAAGAGTGAAGTGTAGTTTTACACTCACTTTTTACCTAACTGGACATTTTGTGCTTGCTAAACATTTAATCCAATACTACTAAAAACTTGACTACCCACACAGAAATATTTCTAGGGAATAGGCTTATATTTTAGTTTCTTATACACCACAGGTTCTTAATATATTTACATGTACAAATTACTACAGCATTTCCAATCATCCACAAAAAGGAACTTAGCTTAAAACTTACTTTTGCTTCTTTTAGTCCTGAAGTGAGACAGAGAAGGGATCTGATCTTGCCCTCCTATCATTTTTTACAAACTAAATTTTAAAACGATGTTAAATTTATACCTCCTTAAGACTTAGAAAAGGCAAATATTACCGTCTTATTTGCATTTAGGAACACACCTCTTCCCATGTTGTCTGTTAGCCTATACTTCATACATGGAAAGCACAATAGAATTTTAAAGGTGAGCCGAGAACTGTCATATAGGGACTGGTAAAAGGAGGCCAAATACCAGAGGTACCCAGCAGAACTACTCTATGGCTAGTACCCAGGCCAGTGAGATACAGAAAACAGAGCTCAAATATAATTTGCTGATGTATTTTTTTCAATCTGATCCTTCTTCACTAGCTGTTCCCAATGATGCCTTCGCACTTTTCAAGCCTATTAGGCCAAAAGTACAGGGAAGTAACAAATATCAGGCACAGAATACCTTATTCAAATGATAAAGGCAAGTAATAAAACTATAACATGTTTAACGTTCTATATGTTTCTGTATATTTGTTAAAACAAAATGTTCATAAGGAGTTCAATATGAGAAGGCAAGGCAAGTTTCGGAAGCACCATTACCTGAAAAGATAAAGCTATAGGTATACATGTGAGTTTTGAAATCAATTTGTTGGGGTATGATCTTTTTTATTTTTTTTTTTAATAAAAAAGGATAGACTACAACAGAGGTTAGAAAACAGAATACATCACTTTATTGTGAAGCTTTTATTTCATACACACAACCCTATGTAAATAAAATATTATGTAATGTAAAATATATGAGTATAAAATATTTCTGTCAATTAGTCAAAAAAAAAAAAAGTTTACAAGCCTTTATTACCCGAAGTCCAAAACACCCTAGCACTATATGTGAGGATAAGAGAGCTCATAATAATTTTACTCACTAATTCTGAGAATATTACTTAGGCAATCATAAATTTTATACGTTCTACAAAAACGTCAAAGGAAGTAATAAGGCTGTTGCTGAAAGTTCATGTATAGATTGTTAGTCTGGGAGGTGCTCATAGTATCTTAAACAAGATTACGATAATAATTCAGTTTAACTTCACTCTCTATATTATAATCTCTCATTGACTGCAACATTGTGCTGCTAAGCATCCTGCTGAAGAAAGAAATTTCAGGAGAGCTTTCTCTGTAAAATAGCAAAGAGGACTTTACAAAGGCCACCATTAGATTTGTTCCTAACTTCTAACCCCTATAGCAACTACCCAAGAAACACCATAAATGTTGATTTACCGATCAACCCAGTTCTCAACAGGTATGCACAGTAACATTACTATCTTTAACTTAACTAAATCCAAAGAGTTACTGGTGATAAAATATTAAATTCTCAACCAAACTTAGATCTTTAGAACTGTTTGAGATTCTCATGTTTTACTTACCTAGATCTGTCATTACCAAATTGGAAAGTTGAAATTCCTATAAAAGATTACAGGCATTTTTAATTAGGAATCTAACAAACAGTAATTATTTCCAATAATCCTCAGTCAAAACACGTTAAAAATGATAACATCGATTACATGAATAATATTTCTCTCCTTCCTGTATGAAAATGAAAAAGAAAAAAGTTCTATACAACATATTTTAGTAATTCAAGGAAAGGAAAAAGCAAAGGAAATCCACAGGTTATCATATAACTGTTCAAGTATACAATTTTTTAAAATGTAAACAGAGCATATGGGCAATTAAATTATTTACATACCATTCTCAATCATGAATGTAAGAAATATGGTAGCAACAACATTCTTCATCAGATTTTTGCTGAAACTGACAGGGATTGAAAGGATGAAAGTTAAAACCTACCTCCCCACACCCAGGCACCTCCTTAGTAAAGCACCACTCCACCCCACAGTCCCTTCTATCCCTCACTTTCCAATACTCAGTAACAAATTCAATTTTAGATGATAATATAGCCTAGGTCAACTTTAGGGTTGCTTAGGTTCCTTGACCAGAGTGGTCAGTAAACCTAAGTGTAAGCCAAATGTCATGGCCCATCCAAACCCAACTGCTGTTTTTTGCTGGTAGACAGCATCCAAAACTACACGCTGGCACCAAGATGGAAGCCTGGGAAGAATGTGGAAAAATGAAAAGTGTTGATATTTTAACACATTATTATTATTTGTAGTAGAACTATGTTAACAGAAGTAAACCTGCAGAAAACAATATAAATATAAAAACAGTGCCTTAGGCAGAAAAGTATATACAATCACATTCTCCAACATACAAGTCAGATGTAAACTACTTACATGAAATTCCTAATCTTGTATCCAAGGCATTTGACATGTAAGCTCAAAATGCTAAAGACTCAGTTTCATTTAAAAATAAAACTACCAAGGGCCCGTATTAGCTGCCTATGAAAACAAAACTGAATGTAGCTCCCCTCTTCTCCATATGCTCCCCATTCCCAACTGACAAATGCATACATCATGCTAACATACACACACATATATTTACTTAAATCAATCACAAGTATCCTCTGAAAAGTCCCTTAAAACACCATAAGTAATTATTTGATTATAACTCAGTATTCATTCAATAATTATCAAGCAACTTACTAGCACAGCACTCTGTCAGATGCTATCTGGGACACAACAAAAGTTACTTTCTCAAAGTTCTCAACGTGGCTCACTGGGCCATGACATGGCACTCACTCTGCCACATACACTGCCAGAACTTCATACGAAGGACAACAGTCTAGAATCTCTAAAGCTGCTAATTATTACAATCTGCATTCTTCTTCCACTTCATTAATTGAAAATTTGATTAAGCTGTTGTAACTCCATCACTCCATTTTCTTACCTTTAATTGAAGACATTTTGAGCTAGAAGATAATAATAACCTTAAAAAGTTGAAGTTTAACTAAATTAAGCAGGTATTTCACAAAAGTGATTTTTCCCCCCAACAAACCCTAGGAAAACCATCTCTAATTCTGAATAGCTGTAAGTCAATTGTACTCCAGAATAAGTTAAAGTTAACTAGCTCCTGAAGAAGAAGTACCCCTCTCTCTCTTGCTATTATTTACCAATCTCACATCTCATCAGAAATACCATGGAGTGAAACTGGCAATTTTGCATCAACTCTATTCGTGCTTTATAGAAAAAGGGAATGGCTAAAATGGAAATTCATCCATCTAAACTCGTCTTTGTCCCATCAACTCAGATAAGACATCTCATGAAATGACAGGTCATTCTCTATCTATTCCATCCTCACTTTAGATACAATATTAAACAAAAATTCCATCTGGTTCTCGCTCCATCTTTTACAATTATGATCTCTTACAGGCAAAGATATAAGAAAATACTTTGGACTAACAATTTAAAAGAAAATGTTATTAAATAATAATAAAAATTTAACTGTGCATAAGAATCAACTGAATGCCATCCAGGATGAAGTATGCTTAAGGGAAGCCAATGAATCATCTCAAGTGAATCTGATGCAGGTAGTCTGGAGACACTGAGGAAATGCTTACAGAGGTCTTTAGCTTATAAGTCTGCATCAGTTGCCAGTTTTCTTTTCAGAGTCTTGGCTACATACGGTAATACTCAGCATAGAGTGAACAGTCAGATGCTTTTATATTATCCTGGATCGTAGCTGGTAATGAATCTCATCTTTCTCTGACTTTCACAATGCTTTTGCTATGACCATAAAGGAATCTAGTCTTCTGAATGTCAACTAATATTTGTGCATCCATTTAAAATGGTGAGAATACAGTGGCTTCTACTATACCAACAATAATTTCTTTTAAAAATATTTACTTAGAAGCATTAAATTGTTTAGGGCAGTAAGTGTAACTAATTACAGATTTTTTATACTGCTATCAAAAAAAGAGACCTAATAAAAATCAGACCAAATATACAATCTTCTTTTACTATCAGTGGTAGAGAAAGGCTAGTTATTCCCACCAAACAGAGTAGATGTCTTAATAGCAATGAAGCTCAAAATTTTACCTAGTAGCCTCTTAAATCTAAACTTGATTATGACAGCTAATACTTGCATAAGATAAACAATATGATATAGTTCTGCATCCTACATTTCACCTCATATTTGCTATTATTAATATAAACAGCATCTTAAAACTCCTAAACTGCATGTGCTGATGCAATGCTACAGAACTCAACTGCCATGCTACTGAATGGCAATGGTATCTTAATTAGAATTTTTTAAAAAATACTAATATCTCAATTATCAAATATGATTAGGAGAAATGATTTAAAACAATTATTTCATATAGATTTTATTTCACCTAATTGTACATGGAAATAGTTCTAAAATATGCTAAATGATTCTGTCCTGATAAGAAAATATATTAAATACAGTTATGGGTCACTTAAAGACAGAGATACGTTGAGAAATTTGCTGTTGGATTAATTTTGTTGTTGTATGAACATCATAGAGTATACTTATACAGACCTAGATAGTACAGCCTACTACACACCAAAGCTATATGGTATATAGCCTATTGCTCCAAGGCTACAAACCTGTACAGCAGGTTACTGTACTGAATACTATAGGCAACTGTAACACAATGGTAGGGATTTGTGTATCAAAACATATCTAAAAAGCTACAAAAGTAAAAAAATACAGTACTGAAATCTCATTTGGGACCACTGTCATATATGTGGTCAGTCAGTCCTTGACTAAGACATCTTTATGTGGTGCATGACTGTATTATTTCAATACTTAATGTTTCAGAACTGTGTTGGTGGAACTAAGGCAAGACTAATATGGGATGGGTGAGGGGGAGCTGCTGCCTTCCACACTCTTTCCTTTCTAGAAATTTCTAAAAGAGTTCAGAAATTAGTCACTTATTTCTTAGAGATCTATAGGCCAGTCACAATCAACATAATACAAAGACTTATCCTAGTTGGTTTCACTTCACTCTCTAGCTTAACTCCAAGAAACACTTGAGGTCACTGATCAAACAAGAAGTCAATAAGTAAAAAGCAACTTAAAGTTAGTTGAATTTAAGAGGCTATAAAACATTCCATTCATTTATATTTTACATTATTAACATATATTATTAAAACAAAGAAACTAAGTCTGTATCAGAGCTAAACAAGAGAACAAAGAAGAAAGGAGAAAGAACCAAACCACAAAAAAACAAAGGTATATTCTACACATCCCATGAGGCATCATGAGCTAAAACAGAAAGGAAAATAAAAAAGTACAACGTAAGTTCGATGACCAAATATTTTCATGTTTTATTTGTGGGTATATCCCCACAATGCAGACCTGTGCTGGCACATAGCCTAAAATTTTCTGAGTAAGTGATCAGACATAATATATATATAATACTCTAGAGAAGATCTTCTCAAAGTTAGATCAGTGGACCCCTAGAGGTCCCTGATACACTTCAGGAAGTCCACAAGACCAACTATTATTGTTATAATAATACTAAGACATTAACTGCCTTTTTCATAGTGTTGACTTTTACAACAATGTTTAAGTGCTAGTGCCTTAACACAAATATTCTTTGCCACCATACACTTAGTTTAAAAAAAGAAAAAGCGTTTCACTTAAGAAGTTCTAATATATGCCATTAGCCAAAAGATTTTGAGTACCCTCTCGCTTCTGCTATAATAAAGCATTTAGATTTCAGAGGGAACTAGTCATTGTTTAACCCACTTGATCAGTCAGTTCCTTTTCATATAGTCTCAGAGGCCCCTGCACCTTCCCTTCACAGAACCTATCACATGTGTAATTCATGTGGTTGATAGCTATCTCCCCACTCAACTGTAAGCTCTATGAGGGCAGGGACCATGTCTGTTTTGGTTCATTACTGTATCCTCAGCACCTAACATATTGCCAAGAGCACAGTAAGTACTCAAATATTTGTTCAGTGAAGGGAAGAACAAGATAATCAGTTCTCTCACTTTTTCTTTGGAAAATGGAAATTCATGATTATTTTCTTTGTAAAAATAGTGGTCTTCTAATAAGATTCATTGTAAAATGAAATAGTGTATGTCCCTAATTTTCTCCAACATCTATTGTAAGATTGGAGATGAATTCCGAGTCCACAATGACTTTTTCATGGGGTTAAGTTCCTAACTCAGGTGGAATTGATTCAACTTTATCAATGAAAAATAAGACAGATAAAAAGCTTGACCAGCTTTCTAATGGGTCACAATAGAGATAAGTAAGCACAAGAGGCTGCTTCCTTTGAGGAGAAGTTCATGGCTGAGAATTACTAATGAAAAGATTTGCTTCACTAATAAAAACTATTCCTCCCTTCCAGGCTGGTTATATGATTATACCCAGACATACACCGGCTCTTTCTACTTCTCTGGCATATGCTATCTCTTGTCTTCAGTTTCCTTTTTTTTTGTACCATTGGCTGAGAGATGGAAAAACAGTCTGACTGGAACGAAAGAGCACTGCACTCAAGAGAGTTTAACAAAAGAAAATCTAAACTAATTAAGTCACTGGAAACAAAGCTTGGAACAGAAGTTTCCTCATTTGTAAAATGAGAAGGTAAACTAAGTTTTTAAGGTTCATTCTTATTTTGGCATTCTGAGGAATGTCTAATTGGTAGTAAGACAAAAGTAATGGCAAGTTAAATTTTTAGTATTTAATCAAATAGGCTAAAATTTTAATCAGTTGAAGCGGCTACCTTAGGTATTAAATGAAAATCAGAGTGTACTATAATAAATTAATCCACACTCTCATTTGTGACTAGGTAATGCAGTCACTAAAATATATGAAGATGGAAAACCGTTTTTCTTAAAGAAATATTAAATATTGCCACTGGTTGACTAACACTCTGCAATCTGAATATTAGAACCTTGCTTAGTGACTAGAATGGTATACATCCCCCAAAAAAGTTTATCTTTGTTTATTGATTAAAGATAATCTGTTCTCTTTTTATTACTTTGTTTCTTAAATTTCTATGACTGATGTGTATTGCTATGTAATAAAAAGTAAATAAAAATTCCTAAGTCCTTTATTTCAGGATCATGTGAACATTTCTGCCTATCAACATTACTTTTTTCCTACATCTAATTATCTAAAATATTCACATTAAATATCTAGATATCTCTTTAGAACTCCAAGTTTTATATGAAAGTCGAATAGGTAGTTTTAATGGGAAATATATGTAAATTAAGATTTCTTATTAAATATGTACGGAATAATTATGCTGACTAATTAACAATGTCACTTAGACTAAGCAATTATATGTGAATAGAGACGCTTTCAATATTTGGGTGATCTTTAAGAGGAAAAAAACTAGCTATAGTTCTCTGCAACACCAACCTCCCTTAGAATCTCCTTCAGAATGCTCCTTAAACTGTTGTCATCTCATCGTCGTCATCATCATCATCATCATCATTATTCCACCCTTCCATCCTCTCTGCTTTAATATGTCTTATTGATTCCCTATAGAGAAAAATCCTAACCTGAAAGCCTGGTTGAGACTCTATACACTGCCATACTCTGTCACTGCCTATGTAAGCCTTCGTGCAAACTTTGCCATTTGCTACAATCCCAAACACTTTTACACATACAAATAGCAAAAACAGCCCCAATTTTCTCCCCTGTAAAATGAGGATAATATCACCAACCTACTTCATAAATGTATTGTGAGGATTAAATGAAAATACATCTTTTTAAAGAGATGGGGTCTCTCTCTGTCATCCAGGCTGGAGTGCAGTGGCACAATCAGAAGCTCACTGCAGCCTCAAACTCCTGGGCTCAAGCGATCCTTCCGCCTCAGCCTTTTGAGTACCTCGTACTATAGGCAGGAGCCATAGTAGTGAAAATATACTTGTATCAGGCAAAATACCCTTCATACACAGTAGCTGCTACTTTCCATTCTTCTGCTTTCTATGTCAAAACAAAGATAAAAGAAATCCATGACTTACTAGGATCTACTCTCATTAATTGCTCCTTCCCTTTTGAGCAGTATTTATTTTCAAAAGAGACTTTAACTACCTAAGACAACTAGATTCCTTCCTCTTATCTAAGCAAACTGTAAATTTTAAGTGGGACCAACGTAAAGAACTCCAAATTGAATTCTTGGACAGGCTTTATTAATCTTATATAATAGAGAAGTTCTTCATCCTGCTCAATGGCAATAGCCCTCTAAACCTGGGTGGTGTAAATTAAACAAGCCTGAATCTCTAGACTACAGGAAGCTAAAGACTTCTATAACTAATGTGTTCAGTGTATTACATTTCTAGGAATCCATAATGCAGAAATATCATCCCAGATATATTTGAGGTTGCAAGAAAAACACAATGGTCACTGATTTTCTTTTTCCTTCCCCCTCAAGAAATCACTATAAGACAAAGAAGAAACCAATATTAGACTTATTATATAAGTAAGGGGTGGTAGGGTGGCGAAGAACTTTATTTCCACATCTAATAATATGCCAATCACTGAGATAGGCACATTATATATATATGTTATCTTATTTAATCTTCAAAATAACCTTCAGAAGCAGATACAGATACTGTACGACGATGTCCATTTTACAAATGAATAAACTGAAGGTCAAAGAAATTAAATACCCAGTAAGTAGTGAAGTCATAATTCAAACACAATCTGACACAAAACCCTACACTTTCCCTATATATTACCCTGGCTTCTTGGCAACATCAACAGATTAAGAAGCCAATTTAATCAAAAGCAGTTATCTTATAATAAAATTGTTCTAACTCTAATTAGCTTAAAATTTTAATTTCTAGATTGAAATAAAAAAGAGAACACAAAGTACCTAAGAACCACCCCTACTCCCTCCCCCTTTCCTCCCCAATCCAGCAAAATTAGAACCACAAAACATATCTGCTATAACACAACAATAGCGTAATTATTAAGATAATTAACTTTCTTAGGTCTTCCAATATCCAATGAACCTGATTAAAGAAGATCATGCCTAAGTACAGGCCACTTATAATTCCTTAATATGGAATTAGTTGGAATGTTTATAAATTATAAGCCTT